TTTCTGCAACATTCTAAGCCCGAATCCCAAGATATAAAAATCCTTTCATGTTCCCTTCCCGCTAGGAGAATTGTGAATGGCGTAATAGGATATACTGGTAATGGTCTTTTTTCTCGCTTGCTGCATTTTTGCCTCAGAAAAGAGCTGTGTCAGGGACAAGCAAATATGATTCTGCACCATACAGGAAACAGCTCGTCTTGATGAGAGGAATTAAATATTAACAATGGGGTCCATCTTTCCTTCAGCTTGCAAACTCATCAATAGCAAGCCCCAGGAGGGTATGACCGAAGGTCTTTTACCTTAACAGACATTAACCAGCTTTGATTGACTCATCCCTGAAAGCTGAAGGTTTGAATATTTAACATTACACAATACTTTCCCACACATTAAGGGGGCCACTGTTAGCTGAGAGTCTCAGCATTTAAAAATGGCTCGATCTTCTTTAGACCTCTTCAAATCAAAGGCTGGTTTATCATCAGAATATAGTATTAATGTGGTAGTGGTGGGAAACCCATAGTGATCAGTGTTAAAGGCATGACATTAGGAAATATGGTAAGTGTTCTAACACCAGGTCTTACCACAGTCCCAATCCAAATGGTCTTGGAACCTCCTGATGGGCATTGATTCTGGAGTTCAAAATTTCTCCCTGGATTTTCAAGGACTGAATTATATTTACTGTAGTTTTCAAGGTGGAGTGAATTCATTAGTAGCGCCTCACTATTGCATTTTCAGTTTATGAATTTTGTACATGTACTGTTTGTTGTGGCTCTCAGATCCTCTAGTTCCTTTGCATCTTATCACCGCTCCCTGTGGAATAGCAGGGGACCCCTAATGAATCCATTCCACTTTGAAAACAGGAGTAGATTGTTGTTCGTTCTCCGAATAATTGTGGGTATTATAGTTTAGTGAAATTTCTTATGCTTTTCTGGAGACCCCCTACGGCTGCATGCATAAATACAATCTGCAGGGGCTCATAGGGAAAGGACAGGGTTGTTAAATCAGTTTCGATCTGTAGCAAAGGAGTCTTTCAAACATTATGTGATGTCAAGGAGAGTTTGGCTATCTGGCTGTTGTACCAACCGCCTTACGCAACAGCAGATACCCTATCCGACCTGTTAGATGCTGTATCAGGTTGGGAATTGGAATATCCCAGGCTCTTGGTCCTGAGTGACTTCAATGTCCATACTGATGATGCAGTGTCTTCCCAGGCCAGGGACCTCGTGTCATCCATGGAGGCACTGAGACTCTCCCAGTTTGTATCGACTCCCATGCACCAAGTGGTGCATGCTGTATTTGATTTTTGGGATGGGGATACATGTGGATCTGATAACTATGGATATAGTTCCATGGTCTGACCATTTCACCCTGAAGGTCTGGCTGAGCATGCCATGCTTTCCCTGTTTAGGTGGCGAGCACATTTATGCTCTCCCACAGAGTCAAATGGACCCAGTCGGCTTCAGGAAGCTCTACGGGATCCAATGACCCCTGGCGGCTCATTGGATGAGCTGGTAGAGGACTGGGACAACCAGATCTCTGAAGCCTTTGACGAGATTGCCCCCCGGTGCCCTCTATGCCTCCACACTAAAGCAACACTATGGTACACCACAGAGCTGTGGAGGATAAAGCAAGAGCTAAGATAGCTAGAGCGGAGGTGGTGGTGTACTCGTGATGAGATGTCACGAACATCTTATAGGATGTTTATGAAAACCTATGAGATGGCGGTGAAGGCTGCAAAGAATGATTTCTATGCAGCCTCCATTGCGTCTGTGAGCTCATGCCTGGCCCAATTATTTAGAATTATTTGGTCCATTACGACTCTGCTACAAGGCAGACCAAACTATTGGCTGTGAGGCATTTGCGAGCTATTTTTCAGATAAGATCATGACATTTTGCCAGGACCTCCTGACCACAATTGAGACAGTAAGGGAACTGGAAGTCCCTTGTCCGCCTTCTCATCTGATACTGGACCACGTCAATCAACTCTCCCAGAAGGAAGTTTTTTGTGTTTTGTTTTGTTTTGTTTTTTAATCCCAGAAGGAAGTTAACAGGATCCTGGCAGCTGTGAGGCCAACTACCTGCCTCCTTGACCCATGCCCTTCTTGGCTGATGAAAGCCTGTGGGGAGAGCATTCGAGTCCCTCTGGGAGAAAGCATCAATCTGTCCCTTTCTACTGGTAATTTCCTGGAGGCTTTGAAGGAGGTGGTAGTTTGCCCACTCTTGAAAAAGCCGTCACTGGACCCTACAGTCCTGACCAACTACCACCCAGTATCAAACTTATCATTCTTGGGTAAGTTGTTTGAGAGAGTGGTGGCTGAACAACTCCAGGCCTTCCTGGATGATGCTTCCATCCTTGATTCCTTCCAGTCTGGCTTCCACCCTGGCCATGGGACGGAGATGGCTCTGGTCACCCTTACAGATGATCTCTGTAGACACCTGGGTTGGGGCGGATTGGCACTGTTGTTGCTATTAGACCTAACAGCAGAATTAGATATGGTTGACTATCTCTCCTCCCAGGACTTAGCTACAGTGACTCTTGCAATGATCACTTCCAGGCTTGATTACTGCAACTCATTCTATGCAGGCTTGCCCTTGAAGCTGATCCGGAAATTGCAACTGGTGCAAAATGTGGCAGCGCACCTGCTGACGTCGATGCCTGTGCGGGCTTGTGTTCGGCTTGTGCTTCACCAATTGCATTGGCTGCCAGTTGAGTACCAGATATGCTTCAAGGTGTTGTTAATGACCTTCAAAGCCTTACACAGCCTGGGACCAACATATCTAAGGGACCACCTCTTCCAATATATGCCCCAGAGAGCGCTACGCTCTAAAGACCAACACCTCCTGGTGGTCCCTGACCCGAGGGACATCCATCTTGCCTCAACCAGGACCATGGCCTTTTCTGCCCTGGCCCCAGCCTAGTAGAACATGCTCCCTATGGATATCAGGGCCCTGCAGGATCTTTGTCAATTCCACAGGGCCTGCAAGATGGAACTGTTCCACCAGGCCTTTGGCTGAAGCAGTGGGTGCCCATATATGGCCTCCTCGAGGTTGTTGTCTACCCACTGATAGCTGGCCACCATTCCATCTATATCAATGGATATATAACCCATTGTAGCCAGCTGAATTTGTGTTTTAAGCTGTAACTACCAATTTTAATGTTGTATATAGTTCTGTGTTTTAAATTTTATATTTTGGCTGTGTTTATTGTAAATGATGTTACCCGCCCTGAGCCTGTTCGTGGAATGGGTGGGATATAAATACAAATAAATAAATACCCTAGCTATGCAGGGATCACCTTTCCATGAGTGGCTTCCCAGTGGGTTTAAATGACCCCAGCCAGTAGCCAATCAGCTGTATCTCGGTCATGGAACCACCATCCCACTGGGAGAGGGGTTGTCGTGATTCCAAGGGAAAGAACCATGCAATCATCCTCTGTCCACATGGTTAGGTGGGTCATTTAAATGTTCTGTACAGGAGCCCACATGGCTAAGTAACATTCAGAAGGCCCCATACCTAAACCTGGGGGGGCATTAAAGATGCAGATGTGGATGTGTCAGTGATGTGTCACCCAAGCAACTGGAGAACCACTTTGGAGCCATCAAAGCCAGGGAAATCCATCTTGCATATTTTAGCCAATGGTAGATGGAGTTCTGCACCCATCCCTGACATCCAGCAAATGGACATAAAATTCTCAAGTAGTTCTATGCTATATCAAATATGTGTACAATATCTGAGGCGGCACTAAGATGATAAGATTCCAGCATCACATCTGGTGTGTGCCAATCCACCCACTGTGCCAGGCAAATATGCAACAGGAATCGGCTTTCCTATTTCCTTTCAAATGATAAACTCTATTTTAATTACAGAATGCAGTGTCCCTATGTATGTAAGTCATGCTCTCTTGCTTATTGCAAATGAAGCTAGTGCCGCAAATAAATGAGGTGTGCAAGATGGCATATTTCGACTTAGTTGTTAAGTATATGTGTGTGTGTATCTTTGTGAGAACTCAAGAGCTACTTTCTGTTTCCCCCCACAAGGCCTGTATGGGAGGGGACTTGTTTAGGTCTTGCTCTTTGTGGTTTGGTTGCCAGCCCTCCCCCATTGGGGTGGGGAATCACCTGCCTCCGAGTCCCACCCACCCCCTGCCAATCAGCTGACCAATTGGGGGACTTACCAGCAGTGGAGGGAGGCCTAGGCTGCTGTCTCTAATGACACAGCAATGTCACTTCTGATGTGCACTGGAAGTGACATCATTGTGTTGCTGGTGACATGGCAACACTCTGGTAGTTGGTCAAAAACTCTTTGGTAAAAGTGGCTTCTACCATAGAATGTTTGCCCAAATACCAGAGCATCCCCACAGTTCTGGCGACACGACATCACTTACGGCACCAGAAGTGATATTCTGCATCACTGGTGTGTAAGTGTAAGTGTTCCCTCCTAGTTGGAGGCAATAAAATACCTGTTAATGAAGCTACCAGAGTTTCCTGTTCGCTGGCTATTGAGAAGCACTGAAGGGGGATCTGGAAAGTAAGCTTACCCCATCCACCAGGCTTCAGAGGCTGCTGCACTTGCAGTTATGCATGTAATTCATTCTACATGTGGCTCTCAAAAATGTATAGGCAGTGCATAAACCTAGCAATAAGCCTTGTCCCCTGGTTTTTCAAATACTAATATTTTTGTGTGCTACCTAAAGATTGCATTCTGCCTTTTGGCCTGTAAGAGGAATGGTGATCAAGAGATTGTTGGAGAACATATCAACATGTTTGTACATCAGTTACAGTATAAGGTTGATCTAAAGGATCAAGGGTGGAAGACCGGAGATGGCTGTCTCTCTTACATCTCCTGTTGGATCTAGAGTTTGGAGACAACATTGTATATACAAGTAACGCTTTATAAATCTTGGCTTTTTTCTGATCAAGGTGGAGACCAGCATGCTAGGCTGTTGTTGCTGTCCAAAGCAGCCCTTACTAATCAGAGTATCAATATTCTCTCTTTGTTGCCAGAAGGCGGAACATGTGAAGTTATAGCAGCACACAGATGTTGTAATAAGAATCGGATCGAAGAGAGATCACAAACAGTAAAATGCTCCTGTCTACCTGGGAAAGTGGCTGGGACGACACGGAACAGACCCTCTTGTGTTGACGGCAAGTAGCTCATCCAGTGTGTGTCTTTGTGGATATTTGTAAACTTTCCGCCATGCTGACTCATTCATTGAAATCAACCTAGGAGACATATAGAGTGTTCTGAAAATGAAATGTCTGGATTAAATGGGTATGGGAATAAAGCTGTCATTACGTGGGGCTACTGATAAGGCCTACGAAGGGAACAGGCCATCACAATGGAGAAAGCCAAGCCAAAAGTGATTAGGTTCATATAGCAGTGGAATCCTTAATGGAGTTGCACCATTATAAGACCCCTGAAGTCAACTGATAGTCTTCCATTATGGTCTGAAAGGGTTACCAACCTCAAGGTGAGGTCTGGAGTTCTCCCACAATGACAGTTGACCTCTAGATCACAGAGATCAGTTCCCCTGGAGGAAATGAGAGCTTTGGAGGGTAGGGTCTTTGGCATTGCATCTCCACTGAGCTCTCTCCTCAAACTCTGCTCTCACCAGGCACTGCCCCCAAATCTTACGGAATTTCTCAAGCTGGAATTTGCAGCCCTGTTGTCTGACTGACCTAAACTGAATAACTGGATACATTGATTTGTGTGGAGTCAGTTCCCAAGATTTTGGGTTAAAAGGTTATATTGAAAATGTCCAGGTTGCTCTTTGAACTCTGCATCCAGTGTGTTTGTGCGCTAACCAGAAATATTTCAGGATACGACCTGAGCCTAGTTCACATCCCTAGGGAGTAGGACACAGATCGTCCATTGGATTGTCAATAGATCTGTCTGGGTTTCATTTAAGACCTCTATATTAACTGATAGGGATGTATCTACAGAAGTACATTGTTCTTGCATGCTAGATTCAGTTCTACATCAAATGTGGGAGAGGGTGAATGTCTGTTGCCACAAGACTGTTAAGCTCTTGTTGCTGAATGTGAGTGAGTCAGGGGCTGTCTAGGATGAACTGCCCAGCTCAGGCAGCTCTGTCTGCTCTACGTAGGCATGCCAGACTCCAGTTGGGACCTGGAGATCTCCCGGAATTACAGCTTATCCCAAGACTACAGATATCAGTTTCCCTGGAGAAAATGGATGCTTTGGAGGGTAGACCCTGTGGCATTGCAAACTACTGAGGCCCCTGTCCTCCCCTGGCTCCATCCCTAAATCTTTAATAGTTTCCCAACCTGAATCTAGAACTTGGCAACCCTATGACTAGTATGTACAAAGGAGTCCTCATCCAGGGTTTTTACGTCTTCTGTATTTATCAGTGACATGTTAGATGAAGAGGAGCTTTATTTAAAGGATGTGAGCATTGAGGCTGTGGTCTCAAGCATATTTTCTAGGAGTTCAACAGGAAAAATTAGAAGCATGCAATTGAGGGTGTTACTGCTGTGGACAAGATTCATGACAAGTTTGTAACAACTGATTCCATAGATGAGAGTACAAATAGAAACCATGCCCATTCATAATCTGGGAATTTACCCGTGTGCTGCTTTTCTCATTACCAAATAGCTTTCTCAAAACACAGCACAGAAGCTTTTATGTTGCTTCCGGTGGTAGCCCTAATGAAACATTTAATAACTGAATAACTAAATAAGTAATCACACAGTTTAATTGGACTGACAAACTGCTTTGCATTCTCTTTATTTCGCCTAATCCACAGGCATAAACTTGGGTTGATACAGGGCAGGCTCGAGGCTGTTTGGTTGTCTCTCCAAATAGCATGCCTCATCTGTAGGCCTCGGTCTACATATTCTGCAAGTCCCACCCCAAAGTATGTGGCATTAATTCTGTTGATGTTTCATTACTGTGAATGAATATGTAATGGGAAAAAACAATCTAAAGAATTAGTGCACAATTCATTCTAATTTAGAAACTTCAATGTCTGCATAAACAAGCCTCTGCCGAGTACTCTCTGTAATGATCCGTATACACAACACTGGTTCACCATGGTGTACATACATTGTTCCTCAATATAGAAGCGATTGGAGGAGGTCTATATATGCATAGAGGTCTATATATGAACTGCATCCCCATAGAGCTTTGGATCATGTCGATTCTGTGTTTTGTGAATTTAATTTGTGGTGAATAATCCCTAAATTATGCCAATTGTGCTGTGCGCCTTGATGTGACAGAAGTTTCTGTTGATGGCCAGTGTGATGTAATGTTCAGAGAGTGCATCTAAGACTGGGGAGAGTTGGGTTCAAATCCCTACTAAACTCAGTGTGTGATAGGGTTGCCAGCCTCCAGGTGGGGCCTGGGGATCCCCCAGAATTACAGCTCATCTCCAGACTATAGAAATCCCCTGGAGAAAATGGATTTTTGGAGGATGGATTCTATGGGCATTGTACTCCACTGAAGTCCCTGTCCTCCCCAGGCTCCCCTCCCAAATCTCCAGGAGTTCCCCAACCTGGATCCGACAACCCTACCCCCATACCCTGTCAGTGGCCACAGGGGACCTGGCAACGCTAGTGTGTGACTTGAGGCTAGTATCTCCCTCTCAGCCTAGCCTACCTCACAAAGTTGTCAGAATAAAAGGGAAACAGGGAGAGTGATGGAGGCAGCCCTGAGCTCTTCTGGAGGAAGAGTAGAATAAAAATGTAAGAACTTCTTCAACTGAGTGGTTGTTTGTTTGTTTGTTTGTTTGGTTGGTTGGTTGGTTGGTTGGTTGGTTGTGTACTGTAGCTCTGATTCCTTGTTAGAGATAGGCTTGTAGTATTAAAAGGTAAACATAGTAGTTAAATTTTGAAAAAAAATACTAAAAGGTAAAGTAAGATCTGCACAAGCAACATAGGGTTACTTTTAATTTTTTTTAGTGTTACTGCTTTTCTCATTTTTGCTGATACATTAAGCATTCAAGTGGCAACAGCAGATGAGGTTTAATTACTGTTTTTGAAAATCAGATATATCAATCATGGAGTGAACGGGATGGTTTGTGTGCATTATTTTTCCACATAGCATTCTGATTTTCCAAAATCCAGTCTCTGTTTTTATTTTTAGCTTGTGTATGGAAATTAACCCACAGGGAAACATACATCTGACCTTAGATATACTGAATGTTACAGCCTTTTTTGATAGAGCAATAGTGGGCCTTTATATGTAGCAACACATACACAGAAGGGGCATTGTCCCAAGGGCCCCTGTGGTGATGGGCCTGGGCTCACTCCATAGGGTTCACCTCTTCTCCAACATTTACCATTTCTGAAAGCTCTCCACTACCTGATATGGACCCCGTTAATTTATATCTCCAGTGGCCCTGAAGGGAGAATGGCAGCCGTGAGGGGATGGGAGCAGCAAATCCTGGATAGGAAGTTAAAAAATGTGTCCCTTCCCATCCACATGCCATCCCCCAAGACAGGTTTGAGAAACCTCACGGGAAAGCAGAAACCCTGGAAAGTGGACAGATGAAGGACAATGTACTGCGGATTCTGTGAGGAGGGGAAATAACTCCAGTTTGAGAACCTAGGCAGAACAAAACATCCATGTGGGAGAAACCCTAGAGTGGCACTCTCTTACCCACTTTTGCCCTCTCTTATTCTTGCTCCACTAACACACTCATTGTAAGTAGTATGAGGCACAATGTACATTCCTGATATTGTTTCGGTAGTGTTTCCCTCCTGTCTTAGCTGTCAACATCCTACATGCTAAAGATGAAAATAGGGACATAGTGTAACACCCCCATTCTTATGTCAAGGCTCACTCAGCCCCGTATACAGAAAAATCTTTGGTGGGGGGCACATGCCCCGACATGACTACATCACCTCCAACATACCTAAACAACCCAGAAATGACATAGGCATATAGTCCTTGCCTTGCTGCTCCTCTTACTCTCGAGGAGCTCATCCAGATCCCGGTCCTGCTTTGAATCCTTCATGTTCCACAAACTGAGTGGGATGAGGAAGGTGCAGTCAGAGGTAGCTGAGGTAGCCCAGCCCTTCCTAGAAATGCCTCTGATTCCTGCTAGGAATGAGGGACTGCCCTAAGAAAAGCCAGCTCTGGCACTGCAGGTGGGTGGAAGGGACCCCCTGTGCCTTGCAAGGCCCCCCCCCCAAAGGGCACCAGCTCCAGCAGGGGCCTCGCCTTCTGCCTTGCCATTGCCACTTTAAGCTGAAGCCCACGGTGGGCTGGGTCCCTGCACCCCCTCTTCCCCACATGGTCTCAGTGCCTGTGAATTTCAATCGCTGGAGGGTCTTGGTGCAGACACCAGTCCTGCAGCCAAGATCAGGGCTTCCATCAGGAGAATTGCTCTCTAGATCACCAGATCCTTTCAGTTGAGGCAGCTTCCTCTTGGTACCTGCCCTGGCCACCATGAGCGAAGGGAGACCTGATCGGGAGCCCAGACCCAGGCTGGCACAGGTGCAGTGAGGCACCAGGGTAGGCCATTCTCTTGTGACTTTGACCCCAGGTTCCCTCTCCCTCTTGGCCAACCATGAGGTGGCAGGCTGGCCGCGATACCCTGCTGGCAAGTGCAGTCGTCGCTGGTCACCCAGACTTACTCTGCCTCCCGGGGGGGGGGACACCAGGAGATGAGGAGCAGGGCACATTCAGGAGGGGGCATCATCCCAAGGGCCCCCGTGGCTACAGGCCTGGGCTCACTTCATGAGGATTACCTCTTCTCCAATATTCCCCATTTCTGAAAGTTCTTCACTACCTGATATAGACCATGTTAATTTATTCTGCAGTACGTTGTTGTTCCTGCCCTTAAGAGCCAAGCTGGTGCATTTCTTTCAATTAAAGGTTACTAACAATTTAAAAAATACTAATTCAAAATACCAAAAAAGTTTACTATTAATTCAACATTTACAGCTGCAGCTGCAGCGTGTGATAATTTGCAGGCAGGTACACTGCATGGCCCCTCAGTGTTCACATGCATGCCCTTACAATGTGTGCTTTCAGCGAAATGCACCCGTTTCCCAGAAATGTAACTTCTAAAGATCTGAGGGAGGGAGCGGAACCCTGAAAAATGACCATGCTAGCAATACCCACTTTAAAAAAAGTTTCCCGGAAAGACAAAAACAACAACAACTGATCATGGGCAAGCAACTTTTCGTGGGAGTGTATGTACCTGACATGAAGAGCTGGGGGGGGGGGGTGGAGTTCACCCTTTCTCCTCAGATGGCAAAGACATAAAAGCCAGTACTTAGTAGAGCATGCCTCCATTGGTATGAAAGGAGAAAGCTAACTTCAGTGCTTCTTCTCTAACCCGCACTGAAAGACGTTTTCCCATAGCATAAAACAGCTGTACCTAATTTCTTCTTACCGGCGTTGGAGTACATAAAAAATGTATAGTTCCACATCTGATTCGGAGCCCATTTAAGTTAATGGGAAGGTACGTTCTAGCTCCAGTCGGCTCTGAGTGGGTCCTCAGTAAATACTTGGTATTACAAATGGTGCTTCTCTATATCAGCACTCGAATCAAGTGAAAATTGTTCATAGTCAAAAAGCCAATAGTTTTCTATTTATCTAATATGTACTTTAGATGGTATCAAAGAGCAGTTTCTTTCCCCCTCTCTCTTTCTCTCTCTCAGCTCCTTAAAAGTACTTTCAATCAATTCCTATTTCTACAGAAAGAGGGGGGAAATGTTATTTTAAATCCAAGGAGTCAGTTTCTCATCCCTCTAGCTGTGCTCCGGCCTAGATAAGGAGAGATCTCAGGGTCCCGTATTATTAATGCGCTGTCTGTATGAATAACGAGCAAGCCGAGTGAATTATTTTTCACTCCTGGGAAAATCTATAGCCCTGTCCTTCTATGGCACCACTGGAAACTGAGTAGGAGATTCGTATTCCCTCCCCCCCCCCCTGATTTGGTGAATTCAGATGACTTCATTTGTAAAGAGTGAGGGTGGGAAGGGGAAAGAACAGCATTCCCCGCTGAGGCCCATTTAGCACACTCAGATGGAGAGACGCAGCACACAACACTAGGCGCTTCAGAGGAACAAGTGTATGCATACACAGATATGATTCGGGGCATTCTGTTTGTTCAGAAATATTGGTATTATATTACATACCTCCCAGTGTTTGAGCTTGTTTCATAATTTAAGATGTCCTGCACCCGAAGCCATTTCAAAAAGCTTCTGAAGATAAGTGTGGCTTTCAGATATGTGGGTCCATTCCGATCATTTCTAAATGCATGTTAAAAGCAAAACCGGAAAGGTATTTTAGGAAATTGCTTTGGTTCTGCTTGGAAAATTCTCGTCAGCTTGCAAAATTCATCCTGCTTACATTAATAGGCATGACTTATGCTAATTATGTTAATTACCTTGCAGAGGAGCAAATCTCTGTCAAGGAACTTTTGTCCCGTAATGGGTGCAAAGGAGGGAACAGGTGAGCTCATTTCCCACTCTGCTTTGGGAAGATGACTTACTGTGTTGGCTTTCTTGCAGTATTTTAACGTCTAAACTGTTAAATCCAGGGGTCATTTCGTAGAAAAAGAGGTGCAGGAGCTCATTAGCATAACTCATTAGCATAATTTATGTGCATATGCCACACCCCCTGACATCACCGGAAGTGTGTCAGAAGGCAACACCCACCACTCAGGCTTCATTGGACTGTTTTGGATTGCTAGCTATTGTGGGGGGAACATGCAGATCTTCCCTCACAGAGGAGGGAGAGCTTGTACCTGAATAAAACTTAGTCTTAAAGGTGCCACTGGACTGTTTTGGACTGGGGGGCCGGGGGGGCTCTGCAGCTTACCTGGATGCTTCTTGCTCTGACTGAGGGCTGCTGGGAGCAGGGGGGGCTTGTTGCATGTGCCCACCCCCTGGGCCTTTTACTGCTGGAACTCCGCTCCTGTGCGCTCCTGCAGGAAATAACCCCTGGTTAAATCCCAAGAGTCAAGACAGGGCTTCTATGTTCCTGGAGGCACAGTGTCTGCAACCAAAAAAGACATCCAGGGCTAACTTCCTCCTACCCGCTTCCCCATTTTTTGTGAAGTGATGTCATCGTGCGAGGGTTACTGACTCTGAGTTGGGAAATTCCTGGAGACTTGGAAGAAGGGCCCTGGGAAAGGAAGGATTTGGGAAGGAGAGGGACCTCAGTCAGCCATAATGCCATAGAATCCACCCTCCAGAGCAGCCATTTTCTCCAGGGGAACTAATCTCTGTGGTCTAGAGATCAGTTGTATATTCCAAGAGATCTCCAAGTTTCACCTGGTGGTTGACAACCCTACTCACACTCAGTAGGGCTGGGGAAACGAAGACATTACCTCACCAACTTTGTTTTGCTACATGTTTCTGGTGGACAGAGACTGAAGAAGCTCAAGGCTGCTGGGTTTTGCTGGCAAACATGCATCCCAGTACCTGATGACAACATTCCTACTGTCCAAGAAAGCAATAAGATTGTGGTAGGACTTTTTGCTGGATACAGAGCATCCTATCTGTGTTTTTTTTTCCTTTATGGGCCTAGCTGCTGCTAGGGATGCCAACCTCCAGATGGGACCTGGGGATCCCTCAGAATCACAGCTTATCTCCAAACTACACAGATCAGTTCTGCACAAAGAAAAGGGATGGTTTAGAGGGTGGAATCTATGGCACTGTACTCCACTGAAGTTCCTGCCCTTCCCAGGCTCCATCCGCAAAATCTCCAGAAGAAGAGATTGGATTTATACTCCACACTTCACTCGGAGTCTCAGACCAGTTTACAATCTCCTTCCCTTCCTCTCCCCACAACAGATACCCTGTGAGGTAGGTGGGGCTGAGAGAGCTCTGAATCAGAACTGCTCATGAGTGAACAGCTCTGAGAGAACTGTGACTGGCCCAAGGTCACCCAGCTGGCTTGATGGGGAGGAGTGTGGTATCCAGGAGTTTCCCAACCTGGATCTGGCAACCCTATGCCCACTCCACCCCCTGCCAGGGGCCAGGGAGGACCTGGAAACCCTACCGCCCACCTTCCAAAGATGGCTTTTTGCGACATGTCATACTAGGATCAAATAAACTAAACTGTCTGTGATTCTTAGTCCTTTGCATCGGAAATTACATCTGAAGTGCTGACAGAAAGAATTCCAAGCGGAAGGAAAAATCTTTCAAAGAAAAATCCATGGTAATGAAGAACAAGGTCAAAAGGCAGTTCTTAGGAAGTCAATGTCAGAGCCAAAGGGCTTGCCCCGGGGTAACAAGTAAATAACTCTGAAGAACATAGTCATGTGTGGCCTCTGAGGGATTTAGGTCCAACAACTCTGAAGTGAGTACAATAACTGCAGCATGTGAAGATAAATGAATTTGCTCTTGTTAAGATTACTAGCAGCTATGCACTTGAAAAGGGATACATAATAATAAAGGATCCTCAGTTCATAAATACATGGTGATTTGCTCTTTAGCAGACAGGGTGTCTGGTCAGGACTATCTTCATACTTTACAAACTCACATAAGCAAACAAATCACATTCTGACCTCAAGGGAAAAAAATGGTAAATTAATCATTTCTGCATATGTATGTGTGCATAATGTATTCCATCTACAAGATTTTGATTTGCCCAGGCTGAATATGGGAAAGGGAATGAAGTTTGAGGGGTGACCAGGGAAATGGGAGATCTATAGGTAGGCACTACTAGGGTTACCAGCATTTCAGTGAACCAGGCTGAATTTAATTTATCCTGGACAGCTACCAGGGGAAACGTGTGTTCAATGTTTTAATTGTTCTTTTATTTTATTTATTCAGACATTTTATAACTTGCTTTTCAAAGAAATATATTTGATGAGGACTGACCAAAACAATGCAACACAGTATGTAAGCTATCGAGCTCTCCGGGTCTCTTTGTCTGGGTATTAATCAGCAATGGGCAGGGGAGAGATTTCCACCTCTGATCGTAAGACCCTGTGGATGGAGATTTTATCAAGCAGCACTTTTAGCCTTCTGGGAAGAAGGAGAAAATGTCAGCCCCCAATTGAATATATAGATTAAAAAAACCAATGGTTCTTCAGTTGTCTCACTAGCACAAAACGAAACACATGGGTCCTTTACAGGGGTCATTTCGTAGAAAAAGAGCTAGGGGAACTCATTAGCATAACTCATTAGCATATGCCACACCCCCTGACATCACCCCGGCGGTGGACCTGCAAGGCTGGCAGGAGTGCAAGGAAGCCCCGCGAAGGCCCTCCCTGGCCCCAGGCAGGCAGGGGTGGGAAGAGGCAGGGAGGAAGCAACTTACCCTCCCTCATCTCCTGCCTCCTCCTGGCTGAATGAGGGCCGGAAGCGGGGCGGCCGGAAGCAGGGGGCGGGGCTTCGTCATGTGCCCTGCCCCCGTACCTCACCTGGGGGAACTGCGATCCCCCCCAAAATGACCTCTGGTCCTTTAAAAGATTGAGAACAGAGGAACAATGCGGTAGTCACTGTACTAACAAAACTAGATATTAACTTAGATGACGTATCTGAAGTTTTGTCATTGTAAACAGCTACAGGAATTTAGATCTGAGGCGAGAGCCACCTAATTTGGTATAATAGTTAGATTTGATTATGATGGTTGACTATTTGCTGTTTTAAGGAAAAGAGAGGTGACCTTTTCAGGATGGCAAATTCTGTGGCATCGATTCCGTCCAATTACGCACTTGCATAGCTCTCTCACAGATGTATGGACTGCGTATGATCCCGATCACGGCTTTGCTTTAAATATCGCACATCACATCACACCACTGCAGCATGTGCAGGTTATTCAAATCCCACAAGATAAAACACAACTCAGTGCACCTCTGCTGGAAGCAAAATTATTTTGAGAAATGGCACGAAGCCCTAGGATGAGTTCTCAGCTGGTAAAAATGGATATGGTTGTATGCTGGAGAGAAGAGAAATAAGCCAAAGAACTGTTGTTTGTAGCAGAAAAACAAGAAAATACAAGTGAGGGGCCAGCAAGGACTTCTGGAGACCATCTCATTTTCATCTCCCCCTCTGCATCTTGTTTCCTTTCCCTGAAAGTCCCCATAGCCTCTCCCCTTTCCTTGCTTACTTCTGTCCTTCCCAACCACCAGCCAACCTACCTTTATCTGTCCCCATCTTTTTTTTTTAATTTTTCAAACAGGTTTATTATACAAGAAATTCCACATCACGGTGCTTTTCCAGTTAGAAGTTCTTGGAAACAATACCGTCATTCTTTGCCAAGCGCAGAATACAGTCGTCAGATTCCCCCATCCCACGGATTGCTCCACAAATCGCATCTGTCTTGAATTGGCCATTGACTCTGCCTGTGACCTTATCAACCTCTGAAATATTTATTTGGATGGAAGCATGGTCCTTAGCACCAATTATCCGGTTGCTAGCAGAGCATTTACGAGGCACGTACAGATCCACAAATTCCCCAGCATCTTTATGCATGGTGAGTTTTTAGATCCTGCTACTAGTGAGGTTCAACAAGAACTTCCTCCTCACATGCCGTGAGCTCAGGCCGGAAAGGCTTATCTGTCCTCATCTTCAGATTTCCATCCTCCCGTCCCCCTGGCAGCCTCTCCCTGGGAAAAAGATGGCCTAGTTGCACAGTGCCGGTTGTCAGGCCAGGCTGGGCCAAGTTGCACCATGGAGAACCTGCATGGATTTGCAGGGAACACCTTACTTTCTCTTATATTCCTCTCCCAGTCCCCACACTAGGGCTCTGTCTGGCAGTCCTGATATCCTCAGCCTTCTCTATTTCCTTCTCTCCTTTCCACCCACCAATCAAACTACCTTTTAGCTGCCCCCCATCTCCAGATGTATTTATTTGTTTACTTCATTTATACCCCACTTTCCTGCCAAATGGGGACCCAAAATGGTTTACATAATTTTAATCTCACCTATTTTATCCCACAATAACCCTGTGAGGTAGGTTAGGCTGAAGAGTATGTGACTAACCCAAAGTGAGCTTTCATGGCTGAGTGGGGCTTCAAACCTCAGTTTCCCAGATCCTAACCTGAATCTCTAACTACTATACCATACTGGCTTTCATGGGGTGACTTCTGTTCAACAATAGTGAACAGCTTGACATGGGTGTATCATGCAAGTTTTGGAGTAGGAGGTCGCCTGGCTGCTACCAGGCCTGGCCCAGATGAGTCATCCCTCAAAACACACCTGAGTCCAAAACAACCCTGGAAAGGGCCCTGCCCTTTCTCCCTGCCTTTTACTGAAAGAAAACAAAGCTGATGGCAGGCAATACTGTGTGGATGCCTAATAACAGCCACTGAAGACATTTGTTTCTTAAAGCTATGGGTACTACTAGGGATGGGCACAAACTGAATTTCATGATGAACTGGGTCAGTTCATGCAATTACAAACCCTGATTCATGCAATCGCGTCATGGTCTTTGGACGGCTTTTTTAAAAAACAACAACACATTTTGTCATTGTTCTTTGTATTTCACATTTTTCTACAAACCTTGGGAATTTTTCAAGTTTGTAGAAAGGTCTGTTTATTCTGTTCATGACTCCAGTCTCTGGATTCCACAGATTTGGCCGTGTTGAGAATTAGATATATTACAAATGCAGGACTTGCAGGGGGCATCTCATTTTCTCTTCCCCCAAAAAATTTCCCTTCCCTGAAAGCTCCCATAGCCTATTCCTACTCCCCCCACGCCAACACACTCCATCTGGGGAAACTATGACGGAGTTGCCCAGTGCTGGCTGAGCCTGGCCCAGTTGCACGGTAGGGAACCTGCAAAAACTTGTGGGGGGGAGGGAACTCACTTTCCCCTGTATCCTCTTGCCTACACTGTTTTTTCTTCCTATATCCTCATATTTCTCTTCCTCTTCCTTTCCTTTCCACCTGCCAACCAACCTATCCTTTATCTGCCCCCTCCATCTTTAGCTATATGTATTATTATTTACTTCAATATCCCACCTCTCACCAAAATTGGGCTCAAAACAGCTTACATCAGCCTCCTCTCATCCAGTTGATCCTCACAACAACCTTGTTAAGTTAGACTCAGATTGTATAACTGGTCCAAGGTCACCCAGTGAGCTTCCCTTTCAGAGTGGTGATTCAACTTTGGTCTCCAGTTTGAAACTCTGGCACCGGTCACACGGGAGGATTGGCCCCACAAAATGGACAGGTTGAGGGCGGATTAAACCGGTGCGATCAGATGCCAACATCTGGCAAGCGTTGCGCACCCACCCCCAACCCGTCGCTACCAGCCGAAAACGTGGATTTAAAAGAGACCTGCAAAAGACCACTACTTACTGGGAAACGCGCAGCATGGGGAGCCGTGAGATCGCCGACACGCCCGTATCCCGTGGTATGCGAGGCCCTGCCACACTGCGCATGCACACAACTGCACAGCTGCCTCGCCTCGCCCTTCATCCCATCACTTCCCCCTCGCCATGTGGCCGTGCCGGGGAGCAAATGTGGCGCGGCTTGGGGGATCTGTCTGATCCCGATGCCGCACTTCAATTTGCTGCGGCTCTAAAAAGCCGCACTTTTGCCGCGGCTTTTCCCACTAGTGTGAGCAGGGCCTCTAACCACTATACCACACTGGCTTTCATGAGAGGCTGTTGAATAGCAGCAACCAGCCAGTCCTGGAAGACCCATGCAACTTGCATAGTCGCAAGTCACTCAGTGGTTGCTGCTGGGCCTGGCCCCTCAAAGGCCAAAACAGTCATGGAAAGTGTCCATTCCCCTCCACCTGTATTTTCCTGACAGAAATCAAGGCCTGACAAAATCATTGTGGTTGCCTAGCAATGGCCATTGTGAGCATCCATGTCTTGAAGTTACAGGCACGCCTTTCATCATTTAATCAATGTATTTATTTATGTGTTTATTTTATATTTCAATTTTTTCTGCAAACCTGGGGCATTTTTCAGGGTTGTAGAAAGATGTGTCATTTTTGTTCATGGCTCCAGTGTCCACATTTCAGTATCCACAGATATAGCCATGTTGAGAATCAGGTATATTGATGATGTGTTGGAAACCCAACGTTCATACATTTTTCAAGAGCCAGTAAAGTGCTGCTTTACAGCTGCATAATCCAGGCACCAAACCAGTTGTCCAGGGCTTGGTGGACAATGGATCATGTTTTGTCTGGATTTGGATAGTGTAGATGGTCAATCTTGATGTGGGAGAATCAGATTACAATTGCTACTCAGATGTATAGTTCCCTGGGTGGTCTTCAGCAAGCCATTACTAGCTGTTAAACTAAGTTGCATCACAGAAGTGTTTCTACAAGAATGAACTAAGACAATGTTGTTGTTATTGTCCACAGTGAATTCTTGGATGGACAGGAAGAATTTTGTAAATAAATAAATTTGATAATGTACAACTCGATCCTTTGTTTGTTAATTGTGAAGTATCTCCCACTTTGTTCAATAGGGCAGATTTCTAAATGTGTGTAAGACGTCAGCTTTATTATATATGTATTTATTGGAAAGTAATTGATTGCTCTGGAGGGAAGACAGCATGGTATAGCCTGATCTCAGAAGCTAAACAGAGTCAGTACTTAGATGAGAAACCACCAAGGAAGACTCTGCAGAGGAAGGCAATGGCAAACCACATAGGCTTCTCACTTGCCTTGAAAGCCCCTTTCACCTAACACCCCACAACTGCTTAGGTGCCTTTGATATGGGGAATGTTGCCATCTCTATCCATTTAGAAATCTTTGAACAATCAGTATAATGTAGGCCCCGGTCACACAGAGATTTTGCCATGCGAAAGGCATGAATGTCAGGTGGATTTTCAGGGTGTGATCACACCGCAACATCTGGGAAGCGTAGCGCACCCGTGGCTAACCCGTGGCGTCCCACCGAAGATGCGGAGTTAAAAAGTACCAAGGAAAGTGCACTAGTATTCGGAAAACATGCGGCACAGGCGGGCATCTGATCACGGGAGTGCTAGTATCCCGTGGCGTCCGGCACCCATCCACGTCCCGTCACAAACCAGATGTTTTTCATAAGCGCATCTGCACAAACACGAAACTGAAAGCACTGCTGCTCCGTGGAACTGCACATGCGCACAAATGCGAAATGCTTGTATGATCGTGCCACACCACTTCTTTGCCACGCTGCAGCTGTTGCCAGCTAACAGCCTAAGCACGGAGACTCGGGGAACCGTGTGATTGGGCTACCATACTTTATTTTGCTCCGGGGCGAACAGCCACACCTCCCCCCCCCCCGCGTTATCAGGCCTGTGTGACCGGGACCGTAGATTCTAAAAGTAGGGATTTTTTTTTCTGCCCTGAAGCTGTTGGTAGATCATTTTTTTGGTACACTAGTGATTCAAAAAGCCAGCTGATATTTAATCAATAGGTGTTAATTTTTAGGACATCATTCCCTGATAAAACAGAGCCAGCTGGGCAGCCGTGTTGATCTGAAGTAGTAGAACAAAGTTTTGAGTCCAGTGGAACTTTTAAGACCAACAAAGTTTTATTCAAGGTGGGAGCTTTCTAGGGTTGCCAGGCACGATCATTGCACCAGCAGGGAGATTTGGGGGGCAGTCTGGCAGTGGGCAGTGATGTCTCCAATGTGATGGCATCATGCAGAAGTGACATCATCACGTCGGGGCGACGCTCTGCCTTTGGGGCAGACTTTATGGTTAAAATTGCACTCAAACTATAGAATTTTGACCAGAGAGCAGATGATGTCACTTCTCTGTGATGTCATTGCATTGGGGACATTGCCATGCAATGTCGCTGTTCAGGGGCAGGGCTGCCCCCGCTGGCCAGCAGCAGGCAGAAACCTCGAAAATCAGGGGATCCCCAGCCCAGGGGTCTGGGAACCCTAGAGCTTTTATGTGCACACACACTTCCTCAGATACATTGAAATGAAAGTTAACAGTCCATACACACCTATATGTATGGCCTGTTAACTTCCGTTTCAATGTATCTGAGGAAATGTGCATGCACGTGAATGCTCATACCGAGTAAAACTTTCTTAGTCCTTAAAGTGCCACAGGACACAGACATTATTCCCTGGTAACACACTCTCTCTTAAGACCAGAGCAATGGAAAAAAAAACCTTAAATCAACAGGTGTTAATTTTAGTCAACTAAAATTCAGCAACAGAGCCAATTTTTGTTCCAGAAAAGGAACTGATTCAGGAAGAATTTTGCAAGTAAATGCAAGTAAGCCTAAAGTAATTGGAAATTTTAGAAGCTCATGAAGCCCAAATCCTGATTCACAGCTCAGTTGCTTAGTCATTATGCTAAACTATGGCCCCGGTCACAAGGGAAGATTTGCCCCGCAAGAGGGATGGATTGGGGGCGCATCAAGCTGCAACATCTGGGAAGCGTCACACATCCATCCCCGATCCGCCCCTTTGGCCCATAAACACGCATTAAAAAGGTACTACCCAAAAAGCACTACCTTCTGGATGATGCGCAGCAACTCCAGGCGTCTGATCGGGGAAGCGCTGGTAGCCCGTCACAGCCAGCACCGTTCCCCGTCCC